GCCGCTGTGGGTCTAATCGCTTGCCTTAAAGCCACTGTGAGCCTCCTGAACTTTGTTGGACTCCGAGGATATCGGGTAGCACAGAGTAAGGCTCAGATCGCCCTCCCAGAAGTACAATACTTAGGGTTTCACATAAGACAGGGGGAGCGTCAGCTTTCAAACAAGAGGAAGGAAGCTATCTGTCAAATTCCTATCCCAAGCAATCGTAAATGGCTCAGGGCGTTTCTGGGCATGGCAGGCTTCTGCAGAATATGGATCCCAGAGTTTGGACTGTGGGCTAAACCCTTGTACGAATGTGTTAAGGGAGCGGATCATGACCCCTTTCACTGGTCCCCAGAAGCCGACAAGGCATTTAAGGTTTTAAAAAGGAAACTGATGGAAGCCCCAGCCCTGGGTCTGCCGGACCTCACTAAGCCATTCCAACTGTATGTGCATGAGAGGAAAGGGGTGGCTCTGGGAGTGCTTTCGTAGTTATTAGGCACCTGGAAACGTCCCGTGGCATATTTCTCTAAACAACTGGATCAAGTTGCCAAGGGATGGCCGGCATGTTTGCGGGCGGTCGCAGCAACTGCCCTAGTGCTTGGGGAAGCCGAGAAACTGACGCTGGGGGGAATTGTGCAAGTGTATACTCCCCACATGGTCCAAGCCCTGCTGGATACTAAGGGTGGTGTCTGGCTTACACAGGCTCGGGTTGCTCAGTATCAGGCAAAACTTGTAGAAAATCCTAAGTTACTCTACAGGCCTGTCCCTCCCTTAACCCAGCCACCCTGCTACCGGAGACAGAGGAGCAGGAACACGACTGTTTGGAGGTCATAGATGCCCAATACTCCAGCCGCCCGGACTTAAAAGATCAACCACTCCCGAATGCAGACTGTGAGTGGTGCACCGACGGCAGTGGTACTGTTACAAGCGGGCAAAGGAGGGCGGGCTATGCTATTGTATCTCTCCACGAAACCGCGGAAGCAGAGGGTTTACCTGCTGGGACATCAGCCCAGCTGGCTGAATTGGTAGCCTTAACCCGTGCACTTGAACTGTCAAAAGGGAAAAGAGTTAACATTTTTACTGAGTCCAGATATGCTTTTGGAGTGATACACGCTCATGCAGGTCTGTGGAAGCAGAAAGGAAGGCTAACAGCCCAAGGCTCTCCCGTCAAGCATGGGCTTCAAATTCTCCGGCTTTTAGAAGCGGAACAGCTCCCCGCAGCGGTAGCAGCGGTGCACTGCAAGGCTCATCAAAGGGAAGATCGAGATGTGGCTAAGGGTAATGCCAGGG